TGATTACAAATGAGGCCCTTGGGAGAAGGCCTTGATTTGATGTCACAAATGTACATCATATAGAGCGCATTACATGGTGGGAGTTACAATAATCAACATAGGCATAGTTGTTTGGTCGGCATGATCATAGTCGATAGGATAGATGTAGGAAAGATCGTAGTAGGCGACAAAGGTCAAAATGATTGTAGTCGACAGGAGACAAGGGTCAGAAACACCGTTGTCTGGCGACGGAGGTCAAAAGGACCATAGTCGGTAGAAGACCAGGGTAAAAAATAGCATAGCCTGGCAATGGAGGTCTGAAGGACCGTAGTAGAAGATGGAGGTTAGAAGGACCATAGTCGACAGGAGACAGGGGCCAGAAAGATTGTTGTATAGCGATGGAGGTTGGAAGGATCATAGTAGACGATGGAGGTTGGAAGAATCGTACTCGATAAGAGAATGGGGTCAAAAAGACTATAGTAGTAGGGCAGTACTCCAGTAGAACTCTAGGCATTAGGTGGTGGCCTAACAGAAGTCCACGCCTCAGGTGGTGGTCCGGTAGAAGTCCGGGCCTCATGTGGTGGTCTGACAAAAGTTCGGGCATCAGGTGGTGGTCCGATAGAACTCCGGGCCTCAAGTGATTGTCCGGTAGAAGTTTGTGCCTCATGTGGTGGTCTGACAAAATTATTTGAAATTAGATCAAAGCTCTTTTGATATCATTGAGTTCGTCTTATTTTCTTAAGTTCAAATTTTCGGAAATCAAATTAGGATTGTTGCGTCATGGAATATTTGCGGTGATAGAAAAATATGAATTTTAGCGTCTTAGTGTTGTACGAAGATCCAGCACAAGCAGATAAGAGAGAGGGGTAGTGTTCATAAGATACACCAGAGTTTTTACGTGGAAACCCCTAAAAGGGGAAAAATCACGGGGACTGGCCCAGTTTGAATGAATCCACTAGTATTTGCAGTTGATTACAAATGAGACCCTTCCTTAGGAGAAAGCCTTGGCTTGATGTCACAAATGTACATCATATAAAGCGCATTACATGGTGGGAGTTACAATAATCAACATAGACATATTTGTTTGGTTGGCAGGACCATAGTCGATAGGATAGATGCTGGAAAGGCCGCAGTAAGCGACGAAGGTTGGAAGGTTTGTAGTCGACAGGAGACATGGGTCAGAAAGATCGTTGTCTGACGAGGGAGGTCAGAAGGATCGTAGTTTGCAGAAGAACATGGTCAGAAATACCATTGTCTGGCGATGGAGGCCGAAAGGATCATATCAGACAATGGAGGTCAGAAGGATCATAATCGATAGGAGACAGGGGCCAGAAAGACCGTTGTCTGGCGATGAAGGTCGGAAGGACCGTAGTAGATGACGGAGGTTGAAAAAATCATACTCAATAGAAGACTAGGGTCAGAAAGACTGTAGTAGTAGGGCGGTACTAGTAAAACTCTAGGGGTTAGGTGATGGCCTGACAGATGTTCGGGCCTCAGGTGGTGGTCCGACAGAAGTTTGGGCCTCAAGTGGTAGTCCGACATTAGTCTGAGCCTTAGGTGGTGGTCCGGTAGAAGTCTGTGCCTCATGTGGTGGTCCGACAAAATTTCGGGCGTTAGGTGGTGGTACTGCAAAACACCGGACATTAGGTGGTGGTCCGACAGAACTCTGGGAGTAAGGTGTTCAGGCATCAAGTGGTGGTCCGAAAAAACTCCGAGCATCATGTGGTGGTCCAGTGGAGCTCAGGGCCTCAAGTCATGATCTGGCGGAACTCAGGGTCTCAAGTGGTGGTCCGGTGAAACTCAGGGCCTGAAGTGGTGGTCCGGCGGAACTCCAAGCTGTGGTAATGGAGGAGCGAGGAGGCAAGAGCGATATCCGATTTTTTTTCTTGCTTTCTTTCTTTGAGCCCCTTTTCAAGAGGGAGGAGGGGTCTATTTATAGATTTCCTAGAGTGACATGACCTGTAAATAGAAGGAGGATTAAGGTTAAATGAGGTGTGGTTTGGATGGAAGGCTGATGTTGAATCTCTTGATCAAGGACTGTTTGCTAGACATTTGAAGATCTTAATTATGTCGAAATTCTGTGATCTTGGGCTCATTGGATTCATCCCGTCGAGCCGCTCAATTTGATTATAAGCATGTCACGTTTGGAAACTGTTTGGTAATCTGAATTATGGTTTGAAACCTCCAATAGCGCTTCAGGCCCTTGATTTGGACCCATTTAAACTCAGATTGAGTCGAATTTGGTGTCGTTGGGTTCATATTTCCAAGATGTTCAATTCGGCTATAAGTTTGCTGAAATCTAAGTTCGGATGGTCCCAATTTTAATTTTGGAAGTTTCCAACTTGATTTTTTCGAGGCTGTATCAAGGATGGTTGCATGACTCTACTATATATCCTAATTATTAACCATTACATACACATATAAAAAGCTGAAAATAATATAATTATATATGTTTTAAGAGCATCCATGCAATGCTTTCAAAACTTGAACAGGGAGCAATTATGAGATGCAAATTAAGTCGGCATGCATGATTAAAGCCATTTAGTAGAGTTTGACTGTTGACTCCCATACTGAAATGATCAAGGACGAGAGGAAAATATATATATATAAATAAACAAATGGCATGCCATTAAAGTTCGCTCGTGAAATCTTAGCATTAATCATGCATTTGTACTTCATTAATATGCCAAATTAGTCAAGCATTATAGCCCCTTTTTTTATAAATTTAATTTAATGTAAGGATATGCATATGCAGCCATGCAGGCTTTAATTATGAGATTCTTCAAACTACCTACTTAAACAAATAATATATTTCAATTGATATAAGTACATTCACATGATTAATCATCTTTTCCAAACACCATAGCTATATATATTCATGACATCCATCTCTCTGATCTCTCTCTATTATTCTTTGCGGATGCTGAACGTCGCTCTAGACGAATCAGAATGCAGCACTGATTGTTGGTACCGCTGACGTGACGCATTCTGGTTGGTCTCCAAACAGTGAACTGTGTTCGGCGTCCGCACGGAATAATCTCTCTAGTCGGGCCCCCATAGAATCATTTGGAACACGTGGGAGGCACGTGAGGAAAAAGACACTTATATGTAATCAATGAGCAATTGATTGTTAGGATCCAAAAAAAAGAAATAAAATCTAATTAATTAACAATAAGCTTTTGAGAACCTCTCCAATCTTAGAGAAAGGTGAGAGAAATGGCAGTTGGGCTAAGAGACTTATGCAACTCATGAGGTCATAAATACATATTGTGTCGTTACAACAACCACTAATTATTTAATAGAATTGATAAACATATATGAGCAGAGATGCCATTAGTTGGTGTTTTAAATAATCTAATTAATGTCAGGATTCTTAATTCAGAGTTAGGTTTGTGATTAGTTAGCATTAAGAAGAGTATTTTTGTTCTCGGAAAGTGAGCTTGTGAATCATGCTTAGGTAAGCAAGGATTAGATTACTTGATAACGATTTGAACTTAGGATTTCACAGAAAGAAAGAGAGAGAAGAGACATGTACACATCAGAGATCTAGAACAGAACTTCCCAATGCCATGAATTAATGATGTAATCATTAAGAATCAGATTATACTAATAAAATTTGTGGCTGATAACATTATAAATATTTCAAAATTCCTGTTCATTTTAAATATAATATGGGTAAACATTTTCTTACGACCAAACAGAAAGCCATAATAAAGTCCTAGAGATTTGGACAGTTTCTTATTATTTCTTAAAGCAATTTTTTAAAATAAAGATTTTAATTTTTTACTAAAAAACTGCTTTAAGAAACAATAAAAAAATAGTGCCAAATAAAACTTTAAGATTATGATAACTTATTAGAAAGCAAAACAATAAAAAAATGCCCTAAATGAATCCTAACTCTTTAAAATAAGCCTAAGAACTCTTTACATCTTAATAAATATATCAGCTATACCTGAAATTTTACCTTTAGATATCACCTTCTAAGCTAACTTTATTCTATTTTTAAAATCAAGTTATAATAGATCTCTTTGCTTTATTTGTTGTGCTCATTCAAAAATATTTCTTCTTTAAAACTAACATTTACTAACTTTTATAACTAGGATTTTCATCTATTTGCATCCATAAATAAGATATCCCGTTATTTTTACCTCTAATGAACTTGACAAATAAAAATTCTTATATCTCATATCTTATCATAGTTTTTTTACATATTTTATTTTACTTCTTTATATTAAGCATTTTATACAAATTATAAAAAACTATAATTTTGTGTTTTACTCATTACAAGACTTGTCGCCACCCTTTTAAAACCCAATACTTTTTCTTATTACCTTTTAAATGATTTATTTTTAAACTCCACAAAACTTATCAAATAATCTTCCAATAATACTAGCCATCTTAACACACATAAAACTTGACAAAGATACACATGCAGGGCTTGGAATTGACTATCTGCTGTAAGTTGTAGGCTTCGTTTGGTACAAATTTCTTTATGATTCTTTAAGCAGCTTTTTAATAAAAAATTAAATTTTTTTGTACTAAAAAATTGATTCAAGAAGCATAAAGAAAATCATCCCAAACGAAGCCTTAGTAAGATAAAAACACCACCCACATAGAGTGTTAATTAAATTGTAAAAATAGAAGGGTTTAACTAACAAACAGTTTAACTTAAAACTATCAGATTATTCTTCAACATAACCACTTTTTTAACTTGCCCAGCTTCCAATGCAAGGCAGCTCTGACATCTTTTAATTAAAATTTTCCTAATCAGCCTTTCCCACTAATATTATTTTTCATTAATTCAAATAAACTATCAAATGGTTATGGTTGCAGAGATCTGGATCAAACTGGAACCAAACACTTCTGACACCAATTAAACATAAAGTTTATTCAAAAATAATAGTTTTAGAATCAGAAACAACACAACAAAACTTGCAGATCAAAAGAATTCAACTTTATTATAGCATGAATAGCAGATCTGGATTTAGGATGAACTTGCCCAATTGAAACTTCAAAAGAAATAGTGCAAAAGCATCTGAACCCTTTTTTACTAGCTTGCTTTCCAACAGAGAAGCAAAAAACTACAGTTGCAATGAAGTGCATTGGTGTAAAAGCTAAATGTATTCAGTTGACAATATATTTATAATGCCCAGAATATTTTCTGCAAAAGATAAACAAACAGGTTTATAACTCAAGATTCGTTTGGGACGACTTTCTTCCTGCTTCTTAAAACAGCTTTTTAGTATAAATTTTTTAATTTTTTACTAAAAAATTGCTTTAGTTAAGCAGTAAAAAAACCGTCCCAAACGAAACCTCAATCTCATCATTTCATACATATTCACGGGAAAACTTAACAAGATTTTTTGTTGGAGAAGCAATAGAAAAGTTTCATGGTAGCACATCTGTCGCCATTGGATTATGGAAGGCATTTCATCCTCTGCCAAAAAAGAAAATGGTGAAAAACAATGGCAAAGTTTAAAACTTGCATTTCGAAAGTCAATTTTCTTTATTTTGTAATTTTTCCTTCACGAAAAGATTTTCTAGTTCACCTACCTGTCTCTCAACTTCAATTGCCGATTCAGATAGTCTTCTCTTCAGAATCGATTTCTCCCGTTCACAGCTCTCCCCTTCCTCATCTTTATATATGAGGCAAGAGGTAAAAGCAAAGTTTTTATTTAGAATCAAACCATAAATAAAGTTTAGCCACCAAAATAAGAGGCGAGTCGTCGACAGTGCTTTTTGATTTGTCCAAAGATATCCATAGAAGAAGTATAATTACTAAGACAAGAGCTAAAGTTGAGTTATCATGTTCTGCTACCAGAATGATCAGAAAATGAACCAAAGACACACACATCTAAATACAAACACTGCAAAAGTATTGATAAATATCTAAAAATGAAGCTTATCAAAAGTAACAAAATATCTATGCATTACATAAGATGTTATAAAACTACACATTTATACATTGTCATACTATTTATAAATCTTAATTGCATAGATTATTAATTTATGCATTTTAATACCATCATGTAACTTTAAGATTGATGCTATAAACAATGCCCAAAATGTCCAAACAGCCAAAATTTCCCTGGAAAAACTGTCCTCCACTTCTCTCAGTTTTCACTTCTTGCTTTTTCTTAAATGCAACCAAACATGAGTTCAAGTCGTTCGAGCATCCCAACTATAAATTCAACTCTACAGCATTCCACTCTTACGAAAGGAATGACTTGGACAATCAGATAAAGTAGCTTGAGCAACAACTAAGCCATAATAGGCTCAGCTAAAAGCTTTAGTACCATGCCCTCACTTGGGATTACATGGGATGCTTCTACATCAGTTTCCCAGTAAAATTTTAGCTTAACTAAAAATAGAGAGCTCACGATGCAATCTTTACAGAAATGAGTAAATGCAAGCAAACACAAAAACTTAACTAGTAAGATAAGCATCATCGAGTAGAAATAAATTTTATTTATTTTCACCACAAAGACTACATATTGCTCCCTTTAAGAAATAGCTCCCTTTAATAAATAGCATCTTCAGTTTAGCTGACATAAGCAAAAATAAAAGTTCAATGTTCTTACCATAAAAATATGTAGACAAAATAGTGATGCGCTCTGTTGGCTGAAATCAGTAGGGAAAATCAGATTTAGTATACATTTTGGATGAAGTAGAATAAACTAATAATTGCAAATCAAGAAGCTAAATCCATTTGTTTCTCTCGATGAGCTAAATACAAATTTTAGCAATATTTCTTTCAAGAGAAAAATGAATATTGCATATTTGAAATAAACAAAATTAAAAAAAATCATGAAAAACAAAATTCTAAATGAAAAGGGAGGCATCCAAAAATATTGAGGAAGGTTATGAACTCTTGCATGCTGAAAGTATTAACAATAAGAATGATGGAAAGAGAGTTGGCATAAATGCTCGAAACATAATTTTCTTAGGTGAATAACATAAGATGAATTGTAGGAGAGAGTATTACAAATGGGATTAGTGTTAATAATCCTCAAATTAGAATAGAATATAATTTAAATTTAAATTTGAAGGCATGGATGTATTACTACAATGTATACCTTAAGATAGTAGATATAAAATCTAAGAAGTTTGATCAAGTTTTTTTTTTTTAATCTTATTTAATTTTGAGGATTAGATCAAGTTACATGTACTAGAAGCAATAAAGATAATAAGATCATAATTAAAGATAAGAAAATACTGAGGAAAGATGAAAGTATTGTTCTAAGAAATTTTAAATGAGAGTTCTAAGGTAGAACTATTTTTGAAGATCATCATGAAAAAAAAATCATAAAGTATATTTTAGATTAATCCAAAAAGTAATTAGGTAGTTCTAAAAGAGATGTTCAAGATTATACTAATTATAGGAAAATTAAATTTTAGATTCATGCAATAAAAGTCATAGGGGTAATGTAATATAGGCATAAAAAAATCATAAACGTATCAAAGAATCAATCAGGATTTATAATAAAATGATCAGCCATGCAAGTGATTTATAAGCTAATTGAATCGATAAAAAAGTATACAATGCACAAAGTATTTGCATATGATTTCAAGTAATCATAAGAAATATATGATCGAGTATTACAAAAGCTTTATAATGCATATTAAGTTGAAAAAAAAAGCGTGAAAAAGATAATTTGAGATTTTAAGGAAATTTATGATAGAGCGTTGACTAACACTAAAAGTAATTATAGAATAACTAAAAAGTTCCCAATCACATTAGCATTAAAATTCATTTTTTGTTGTTCATGCAAATGTTTACAAAAATATTCAAAGTGGGGTATCATGGTGTATCCTATTTGTATGTAACATTATTCTAATCAATGAGACCTAGGCAGACATAAGTGGAAATTAAAGAAACGCAGAAAAAATTTATAAGATAGATAGCTTATGGTTTTGGTAGAATGAGGTTGACTATATGATAAACAATTTAAGTTAGTGTAAAATTGATAATTGTGAGTCAATACTTCTAAATGATTAAGTAATACCTAAAATGATACGTTTAAATATCTTGAATTTATTATAAAAATTGAGGATACATGTGGGGATATAACTTTTAAAGTTATAATGGTTAAAATAGATAAGTGTCTTAGCCCTACTATGTGATAATAGAATAATGTGGAGAGCCTAAGTTGAAATTTATAAAACTACAAATATTCAAAATACGTTAGATGGATATGTATTTAATGATAATAAAAATTATTTATAGCCACTTTGAGTGCAACAAGAATAGTTATGTATATAAAAAAAACCTATTGATATAGATGGATTATAAGTTCTACAGTTAAGATTAGATGGATAAAATGAAAAGGTGTTTCACGCCTACTATGTGATCACAGAAAATCATGATGAAATGACAAATCTTTATAAATTGCAATTAGTCCAACTATGTTATATGGATATGAGTGTTTAGTGATAAAGAAAACACTTAACTAATTTAAGTGTAATATAAATAAAAATGTTAAGATTAATGCATAGAAAAATTAGAATAAATAAATAAATAAATGTGATAATATAAGAGTCTTAAGAGGTAGTGTAGGAGTTGCACTCGTTGAAAACAAAATAGTGAAAAATATATAATGAAGTGTAGAAAATGTAGCAATAAGATTGCTAGAAAAATTTAATATAAAGGAATTAGATAAGAAAAGAACTGAAGAGAGAAAAGAACATAGATATAACTCTATGCAAAACGATTCAAGCAAGATAGATTTAACAACTCAATACAGAGTACAGACAAAAGAAAGATAAGGAATTCATAATGCCAAACTCAAAGAGTTTGACAGAAATCTAATGCCTATGATGATGGCCACTTTAAATGAAAAAAAAAAAGAGAGCTGAAAAAAGAAGAGAGAAAAAAATAAATTAAGATTTATTGCCAATGCCATAAGGAGATAAGATCATAGATAGTAATAGGCAAGAAAATTTCATAAATTAAACTAAACTAACATACCATCACGAAAATCCCTTCGCGACGTGTAGGAACTTCCTCTAACCTTTTTAAAGTATCGAAACCTTTTGTGACCACCCCAAATATGGCATACTGTGTTTGGAATGTGTCAAGACATGGGTTAACATTAGAATTTTAAATTATAACATAAGTTACATACGTTATGTGCAGTAGTACCTCTCCATCAAGATGAGGAGCATCTCCCAAAAGAATTGAGAAGGAGGAAGAGGCACTGTCTGGGTCCGAGTACCTACACCAATAAAATGTCAAAGAGAAAGAAAACAAAGAATAGTTTCCTCGGAGAAATTGAGCTTATACTCGGACAATCACACAAACATATTGTTAATATAGTCAATAGCCAATAAAATTTAATAAGAGCAATGAAAGAGGTTAACTATTAATACAATTTTAAATTGTAATTTCAAATACAAAAATGTCATGTTATTATGCTGAAATGAGGTGATGATTAGGATGAAAACCATCCAGGAATATATTTATGGAACACCAAAAAGACCACAGGTGTTTGCATTATGAAACTAAGTGATTTTTGTAGGCAATTTGTACAGTGGATAAGAACTTTCTAGAGATTTCACCCTTATATATGATTTGATGCTCTATTTTTGAGGCTTCGCATGAGTGCAAACATTATCCCTCCTTCGATTCAGGATGCCACAAGGCACAAGTTCAATTTTGTATAGATGGATTTCTATTGTTGTAGTAGGATTATAAAGAAGTAAAGAACCACGATTAGAGAAGATGGGGGATGCTGGTAAACCTTGTAAGCTCTCACAGTTTGATTATCTATAATCTGCTAATGCACCATAGTTTAAATACTCAAAACAATTCAAACAATGATAGGTTTTGTGTTTGGAATCGAGTCTTCTAATTTAACCTTAGGTGCTTGTTAGGGACTATAGGTTTCTTTGTTCAAGTTGATCCCCAAAAATCACAGTTGATAAACTTGCCAAAGAGGCTAACTTCATACCAAGCCAGTTTAAAAAGAGATTTCATCCCTAGCAAAAGGCTCAAAAGAATGTTCATATGAGACATATGATTTTAGAGCATGACTTTGGGGTGGTTCAGAGGTCGTTTTAGGCATGAACACTCAATTTATAGACATTCATCCTGTCCTTATTGTATCTTGTATTTTTCCCTCGTATGAGCATTCACCTTTTAGTTGTTGGAAAGACAAAATTAAAACAAACTTTTTAAGGGCCTGGACTTATAACTTAATTTGTGCTCTTTGCTTTCATCTTCATATTCATCAAAGTGCATGTATTGGAGTATATAGGGACTTCGGAGCCTTGACACACTCACTAGTCACAGCATGAAGTGCACCCAACTAATTATTACTTAGGAGTGTTCAATTCTGGTTCCGTTGGAGAAAAATCCTCAGTCACTCTTTCATTCAATTGTTGTAGCAGGCTACATTGAGATGATTCAATCAACTTCTTGACACATACTTTTTTTGCGAGAACATAACTAACTTTATTGTGGATTAAATTTTGTAGGGTTTCTCTTACTGAATCGATTTACAATGGGCAACCAACCATTAATAATTTATCATGCTTAAAATGCGTTGATGTTGTTATCATGCATATGTATGCAAATCAAGGTAGCAACACTTGCATTTATTCAAGACTGATATTTTTTATAACTTAAGGTAAGTGGCCACCCAACACCATCTGACAACTGCAAGCAACCAAAAACAATAGCCATTGACTCTTCATTAATGTGTTGTAGTAGGATCTACTGGGCTGTCAAATTAATTAGCATGGTTTACATCACCGAGTCAACCGCATTATAGAAGGCTGTTCAGGACAGTGGCATAATAAACAACACAATTGGGTCAGAAAAGGGGAGTTTATTTGTGGTTTGGAGCAAGGGCAACTAATTAATGTCAATGCTACCTAAAAAAGACGAGGGATATGACATTGGCTTTTCCAATATTTGTTCACTACTTTTTAAACATTTTTATAGGCTTTTGCTATCTTTTCTGGATTTTTTGGTACCTTTAAATATATATATATATATATATATATATATATATATATATATAAATGTAATATAACAGAGAATTTGACCTTTTTATTCATGTTAAAAGTACTTGGGATCAAGGACGGAAGTATGCAGTTGTGAGTGAGGGTGGGCAACTTGAAGTTATTTTTTTCATTATTTGGCCACCCTGAATTTGTTCTTATTTTGGTCACATTAAATAAAGGCTATTGCCCATCCTGTTGCAAGGTCTTTCCCAAAAAAGCAATTATTTTCTTGTATTAAAAGTAACTGGTGGAACACACACAACATTTTTTGTGCAAATGAATGTAATAATTTAACAATATTATAATTGTATTAATCTTATTATTTTAAAACTTGGTCATGTAGCTACAAATCCCATTAGCCCATAATATAAATTTAACAACTAAAGGTACTGAGACCAACAACAAGGGTTGTGCTTAGATGTTTATAAATAAAAGTAATCTTAATTGTAAGTCATGTGAGACTAAATGAGAGGAGCATGCTAACTTTCTGAGTGAGATGGATGGGGACCATTAACCATCAAACAATGCATTTATTGTATAACTAGGCCTCAAAGTTTTGTTTGAATTAAATGAAACAGAGAAAAGCTTCATAAATTTATATAAAATTAATAAATTTATAGTTTTAAATCAAGTATGAAAATTTAAGGTGTTATTTTTTACGTAAAAATTAAATAAACCGTAATAAAGGAAAAAATATATTTTTTTTCAAATTCCAATATTACTCTCTTCAAAATAATTAAAAAAAATTATTAGTTCCATACACACTGACTGCCATTATTCTTTGGTTTTATTTTATTATGCTCCTAATTTTCTATCTTTGAGATTTAAAAATAAAAAAAAGGATAAATCATCCATCTAAAAAAATTTAAATTTTAAAATGTTTTTCCCTTGAAATATTATAAATTATATTTTTATTTTTAAAGTTTTTACAAATATAAAATATGTATATATTTATAATTAAATTTTAAAAAAATGAAATTATCATAAATCTTACACTGAATATGAAGTATAACTAAATTTTAAGTAATTAAATAATAAAAAAGCAAGTAAATTTAATTTTATTCTGAACTCACAATAATGTTAAAGAAAATTTTTATAACCCAAATTTAGAACTTAAATTTGCCACTCTAAAAACGTCAGAATGGTTTTGCCCCTGCTTGGGATTTGGAGACATTTAGGCATTCATCTAATTTTGATTTGTGTTTGAATAAATTATCCAGGATAGATTTGTTTAAAACTAAATTAGGACCCTTTCTGCAAAAATCTTAAAGATTAGCAAACAAGTCTTCCAAGGTGGCATTGACTGTTAACATGGGAAAGTGAGTTTTTACAAATCAAAGGGATCCCATGGATTAACTATTCTTTACAAGATATCATACCTTATTTATTAGGTAATATATACCTTACAAAAAGATCTATATATAAATTTTGCTTTCCTTGTTAGAAATAAAAAAAAGAAAATTGATTCCTTTACAAAGAAATATAGGATGCTCCCCAAGTTGAACCTTTCCTACAATATAACAATCATTGTGTTGAGGCAATATGTTGTGAATCTAAGTGGAATATTAAAAAGATGTTTAGTAGTTAAAATTTGGTTAATTAATAAGAGTAATTTTTTTTGGACAATTAGAGTAATTAGCTTGAGGTAATCTTGTAGCTTATAAAAATCTCCATTTAGAGAGGTTCAAGATAAAAATAAATAAATAGACATTTTCCCTTTTATATTTTTTTCTTTCTCCCATCTTTTAGGATTTAGAACAGTTTGTAGTGTTTAAGATGAGATCATGTTCTCATTAATGGTGCTTTCTTTGCATCATGCCTAGCTTGTACACCTGAAGCCACAACACCAATCAACTCCTTAGATTTCTACTTTGTCCTCGCCCTCCACTAGTCGTGAGAACTACGTGCTAGCACTTCACTCGTCCAGATATCTTGCAAGTAGAGCATTCGCTAAAGAAACATCGACGTTATACATCACCATGAAAGATCATCTCAATGACACTATATTCATGATTGCAACCCTCAGCCTCAACCCCTAAACACAACAAACACAAACCCTGACATTGTTACTAAGATCTCTACATTAATGATTATCCCCCAACTCCCTTGTTGATATCATCAATTTTCCATACATATTTCGTTGTCAACTCAAGATCTATCTCCCTCCCTTGCAATTGACATTGGCTTCATATGTGCTAGAATCTCCTTTGTTCAAGTGGGGTGGAAACCTAAGGCACTCCACTCCATTCAAGACCGCATAGTCAACAACAAATCCACATTTGAGTGCTTCTTCGATCCAACCTCCCTCCATGACAATCAACATCAGGCTGCATCTACGTCTCTTGCCCCACTACGCGGTCAAGATCCACCAGCAACTTATAGTTGTCAGCTATGCCTTCACTATGGTCTCCAGATCCATGGCCTCCATTTCCACACCATCCACTAACTCCACCCCATCAAGAAATATATGGATCACTATTTAAAAAATCAGAACTCATTCACATCATTGTGTTTCTACATTTTTCAAGAAGACAAGAACTCATAAATCTCTAAAAACAATATCTTATTGTTTATTTGATCAAGAAACGTTGCTCAATCACTCCTATTAAGAATTTGTGCATGTTTAGCAATCCGCCTCCGCATTTCATTAAAAACTCCAGCCACATCTTCTGCATTTGCCCACACCATTTCTAGTGGCATTTAATGGTTGGATAGACTACATCCTGCGACTTCTTAAATCCTTGAATTTGTTTGTTGGTACTTTCTCCTTCTCTAGCAAGCATTGACACTCGGTGTAGAATTGTCCATGGCCAAAATGATGCAAATGGCTTAAAAAATATATTATTGTATGAAGCAATTAGCTAAAATAGAGAGAAAAGTCTCTATCCATCACCATGATTTTGAATGAAATCTCCCGATGTCTAACCAAGATAGAGAGCAAATGGGATCAACAATTAACGATGGAAGAGAGTTCGAGTGCTTTAAGGAGATCCATAGAATACAATCTATCTCTAATATTGTCTCATGCTCATGCAAGAATCATTAAAATGTATATTCGACATTTCAATATGGACAATCCACAATAATGGCTTTTCAAAGTTAATAAGTTCTTTTCTTACCATAATAGGTATGAAGAGTAGTATTTTAAAATTCCATTAATGCATATGGATGATTTGGTTTTGTGTTACTACAACTAGATGTATTTGAATAGACAATTGAGTTTTTAGAATTCTTTCGAGCAAAATATTCTCAACATTTTGACCATTCTCATGAGATCATCAAAACTACTCTTCATAATCAATATATACATAATGCTGACCAAACTATTGTAATTTTATTTGCTTAAGAGACCAGTGACCACAAAAGACTAAGATGTGCAAACAGTTATAACAATATGATTTGTGCATAAGATTGGCCAACTAGAATTGTGGCTAGATGCACAACCACCACTTTCTTGGTTTTCAAGGGAGAAACTGGTGGAGTTCCACGAGTGCCCATCGGTTAACATTTTGTTTTGCGACTTTATTATTAGTCTAGCGCACAAGAAGAATTTGCTCGAGAAGTTGTGGCTACATGCATGGATTGATATGAAAGTTTAACTTTGAGTGCAAGGTCATCGTGAGAGGAGGAATGAAGTTGTGAATGTAAGTAGACAGTAAAAGATGTTAAACAGTTAAAACTTTGTTAATCAATTAGATTAATTAGATTGAGTTAGTCTTATAATCTATAAATACCTCCATTTAGAGGATGAGATATGACAACGACTGAATAGGCTTCTCCCTTCTTGTATCTATTCTTCATTTCTCTTTTTTTTGGGAGTTTCAATAGCATGAAGTGTTCAAGATGTGATCAGGTTTTCATTGCAAGAAAGAAATAAATAAATACATAAAAGAAAATTTATTATTAAATAACCAGCTATTTCTATGGAGTAGAAACATAGAAGAGTAAATCAATGGAAAATGAATGTAGTTTTCTACAACGAAGTAAGCGTACCTCCCCATTGAAAGAATGCCTTTCACATGTTTAATCTTACTAAATTCACCAACCACAGTTTTTTCAGCTTCAAATCTCTGGTCTTCATTCATGGGTGCAGTTCTGCCCATAACAACATCAGCAACTTGTGCAACAAAACCCTTATCAACCTTCAAGAAGACCCTAACTCTTCAGTATACAGGGAAGTATCAGAGAAAAGGTCCATTGAGGACGATTTAGTAGAAACAGAAACAGATAAGTACCCGAAAAAAGTGGTTCGTGTTATAGCAACCTAAACGGACAAGTTTGAAGATATGCTCAACAGTCTTAGGAGCAATCTCTGGAAAGAAACCAAACTCTATATCTCCATAGTTTGTCTGCAAAATGCATGAATGAATGATCATTCCTCAATGAAATCGCACAACTTATTAAATGGGAATGGCATGCCACGATCTGTGTTTGGAATTCAACTGAGCAAACATGAACTAGAAAAAACAGTATGATGTATCAGAAAACTCCAAATTGAAGTCAATTCAACAGAAAAAACACCCGGAAGGGAAAAAAATTAAAATTCATAAAAAATTATAGATATTCACAATTCGCAAGCAGCTAGCAGCAATCAATGGACAAAAGATGTAACCCGGATCCAGTGAGAAACTACGTTATCAAACAAGTATAAACGCAATCAATCTCATGAAACAAGCCTTCTTGTATAATTAAGGGGAAAACCCTAATCTAATTAAAGTGACTGTGAGTAGAAAAATGCCAAAAAACAAAGAGATCGCAAAAGAACAAAATCAATAAACCTGGAAAACAACACGAGCCGATCCGAGACGGGGTTCAACGGAGGCGAAGCACCGATCGAATGAGAGGACGAGAAGCAAAACGATGGCGACGGAGGCCAATCCTGCCGAACGCTTTCGCATCGTGTCAACGTGCGTCTTCCCTGCCGCCTCTCAGCTTCCTACCCTGTTAGTCGTCCTGCCTCGCAAGTGTCTACAACCACGAGCAACTTAACGGGTCAGAATGGGTTTGTGTTTTGTGAGCATGATGCAGATGACCCAATCTTAACCCGTCAGTAGGGGTGTCAATTTCGGGTCACAGATCGGATTCGGATCAAATCCGGAACTGACCCGGCACTATTCGGGTTCAGGTCAATCCGACCCGCTTCGAGCTCGGGTCAACCCGACCCGCTTTCCCGCACGCGACCGACAGCGTGGGATGCGCGGCAGCCATGGCAGCAGTAGCGGCAGCCCGGAAGCTTGCAATGGCGGCGGCAGGCCGGAAGCTTGCAATGGCGGCGGCAGGCCAAAAGCTTGCAATGGCGGCGGTGCCGGCGAGGCAATGACGCTACGCGAGCGAACCGAGCGACGCTACCCGAGCGACGGCGACGCGATGGCAATGCGAGCGACGCGACGCGAGCGACGAGATGCGAGGGCAGTCGAGGAAGGCGGGCAGCCTGGGTAGGCGGGGGTGCGGGGCAGGCGGGGCAGCCTGGGTAGGCGGGGGCCACTGGGCCGGCGGGCAGCTTCGGGCAAGACCGGTCAGAACGGGCAGGGCCGTTTTTCGGGTCATTCCCGGGTTTTCGTGTCAACCCAGACCCGACCCGATTTTACAAATAGGTAAGTTTTCCGGATCCGAACCTGACCTGCTTCGGGTTCGGGTCAACCCAAACCTGAAATTTTCGGGTCGGGTCCAATATTGATAGGTCTACCCACGAGTCGTCGCAAGCTTCTAATGGGGCAGGGTGTGTGGCTCTGTGCCATTGGCTTTCTTATAATTTTATTTTTTATAAAACAGTTAAATTTTTTTTTTTTTGAGACATTTAGGCCAATTAAGCGAGTGTCATACTCACACACACAACTCATATATAAGAATTGAACTCAAAACCTCTTAGTTGGAAGCCTAAGCTTCCAACTAAGTGATAAAATTTTAGTTGTTTATGTTTTGTTATTAATTATTGTGCTTGAATATGATAATTATATATATATATATATATATAAGTAAAACTCATGGAAAATAATATTTTCTATAAGTATTTTTAAAGATATTTGCCTTCAACCAATCAAACTCTTGGAGTTTATTTGAGCCATAGATTTGGCTTTTTTTTTACTTTAAAATATGTAATTTATATTGTATTAACTGTATTATGCATATTTTCATGCCTCTAGAATTGGAACAATTATTACGTCTTCTGATCGGACGTAGAGCTACGTTCGGCCTCCAATAACATGTCGCCACATGCTCTTAATCTTTACCGCGCGGCCCGACGACGTGACTTGGACCGGAACCCGGGAATGCTATGTTCGCGTACAACTCGGTATTACTCAATATTTGCTCGGTATTACTCGGTATTGCTGGGTATTGCTTGACAATAACGAGAAATACCGCTCTGTGAAGACCAATACCGAGTAATACCGATCAATACCGAGTTGTATCGAGTTTTTCTAGAAAAACTCGGTACAACTCAGCATTGCTCAGTAGTACTCGGTATTTGCTCGGTATTTGTTATTGCCGAGCAAAATCGACCAATACCTAGCAATACCTAGCAAAATCAAGAAATACCGAGTCATCCTGGGTCCGTTTCGGGTCGAGTTGTCGGGGCGTGTGGTAAATAGTGAGAACGCGTGGTGCGATTTTACTGGCGGCCGAACGTAGAGCTACGTCCTGTGACCGGACCAAATAAAAGTTCCTAGAATTGGGCTACTGTTGGATGTTACAAGCAGGTATGCTCCATCTTCTTTGATGTAGAAAATGACCATCAACCATCTAGCTATTTTTAATATTAGATGAGCATTTAAATAATGGTAAACCTCTTATATAGGAACTTTTATTAGGTCAGGACACCTGACATAGCTCTACATCCGGATGCTAATAAAATGTCACCACGTGCTCTTACTTTTTACCACGCAACCCGACGACCCGACCCGGATCGGAAACCGATATTGCTATGTTTGTGTATTGCTAGGTATTGCTAGGTATTGCTTGATATTGCTAGGTATTACTTGACAATAACGAAAAATTCCGCTCTTCCAAGACCAATACCGAGCAATACCTACCAATATTGAGCAATAACTAGCAAAATCAGGGTATTATTCGTTATTGCTCGGTATTGATAGATATTGGTCTTGACAGAGTGGTATTTCTCGTTACCGAGCAATACTTAGCAATACCCTGATCTGCACAAATCAGCTAATACATAGCAATACCGTGTTTTGGTCCGGGCCAGCTTGTCGGGCTGCGCGGTAAAGAGTAAGAGTACGTGGCGATATTTTATTGGCGTCCGGATGTAGAGCTACCTCAGGTGTCCTGACCTAATAAAAGTTCCTTATATAAATAGTTCTCTTGAAGAGCGATGTCTTTTCTCCTCTCCAAAATTGAGTAAACCTCGTTACTTTTTTTTGTGTGCATCAATTTCTTCTTTGACGAGTGATTTTTGAAACCCGATGAATCATGAGCTAAGACCTTCTTTGAAAATCAGAAGTAGCATATTTTTCCTTTATTTTACATGCTTCATTGATAGCAAGCTCTTGCTCGAGCAAATGCTAAGACCAATAAATGATTAGAGAGACAGAGATAGATAAGAGTCTTTAGATTGAGATGCATCTCAGATCAAGAGAAGAACATGACAAAAGGTGATGTAGTTGGTTCAATGCTTAAAATGATACCCATTAGATTGGTGGCAGTGGAATCTTTATAAGATAAAAGAGAGTAAAAAACATAGAAACAAGCTAAGAGCTTACCTTATTCAGCATTGTAGTTTACTTCCGTGTTACAAAGAGGCCATTGTTTTCCTATGAAGAGTAAAATATTCAAATATAAGTAATATTCATCTCAACTTCTCATCTTATGAGCCAACATGAGAAAGGAGGTGAGAAAAGGTAGTAGAATGACTCTTTTTCTATATAAGCACTTTTAGTCCCTTACTAATAAATTACCCTATGAGCCCTCCCCTTTTGTAAAAAAATTAAATGGCCTCATACGTGAAGGATGGTGCACAAGTTCTTCCAATGTGGGTAGTGTTATTGGATTTAATAGTGTGAGGAGAATAAGTTGGGTGCCATGAAAGTGGTTGGCATGGAAATGCTTCTAACTTATAGCTGATGATATCCAAGAAGATCATTGCTAACTTAGATGGGTGTTCGAGTTAGAAAATAGGTGGTACGTGTTGAATGAGGCAACAACTCTGAATGGCATGGCATGGAAAATTAGATGGATATCTATTTTTTTGATGTTGATTAGGGAACTTGTATGGACACACAAAGGTCGTTCATTAGATGTTGGGTTCTCTTAGGAGATTATTTGATCTCTTATAAGTAAAAGAAGCAAACAACCATTTCAAGATTCTCTGTTGAGGCTGAGTATAGGTCCTTAGCTCCTACAATCATCGAATTACTTTGGCTCACTTAGTTTTTTGCAAAACTTTCATTGAGTTTGCTATGTCACACTCGTCTTTTATGACAATCAAGTAGCTATTCATAGTGTTACATGTCACAACCTAATCCAACAGAATTCATATCGTGTTGAGCTGTGACAGACAAATCATAAGATATAGTTTTGGAATATTTCAGATTCTATTCTAATATTCATTTTAAATAAATAACAGACTACATAGCTGCTCAAAAATTCAAGTACTAAAAATAAACCTATTCATAAGATTTCTTTCATTTCATCAAAATATATCGATACTACAGTACATTGCTAAAAAACAGAGAGTATAGTAAAATACAAGCTAACCATAACTATACAAAAATCAAAATAGAGAAATACCTATAAACTCAGATCATATCCTGAAACTGCTAATCAACTACCTCCTTTTTTTTTCCCCAGATCTTAAAAATCAGAAGCAAAACCACAAATAAGTTACAACAACTCAACAAGCACAAACACCAATCTAAATTTCTAAATTATTTTGTTTATTAAATATTTTAAAATTTAAAAGTATTTATATACAATATAATAATCATTGTATTGAACAAAGTAAGAGCATAATAGTTTTCCAAATATTTTAATAATAAGGATATTGGGCACTTAAATAAACTAAAATTGATATCACAGAATAGTTCATTTTCTTGGTATGAATTTCTTGCACTCTTGTTTTATATTTATAGATTTGAACGTCCATGGAAATATATTTCAAACAAACATCAAATTCAAATGCATAAAAAACTATAGATGAGAATAACAATAAAGCTAAAGAGCAAAATGAAAAATGCATTCAAGTGGAGGCAGATTTTCCAAAAAATATGAAATTAAATATAAAAAATATTTCATCAGATTCAAGATTACGGATTTCAATTAGTGAGTTTAATCATAACATTCGAGATGAATAACATATTTATAAAGATGAAAATTTCAACCTCAAAAACATGATTTTTTAAAATTAAAATTGTGATGAAAGACAGACGTTTTAATTCTAGTTGGTTTAACAAGTACCATAATTGGCTAGAGTATAACATATATAAAGATTGTGTATATTGCCTATATTATTATCTTTTCAGAGTATACGGAAGAAGAAATGAAAAGGATGAGTAGACCTATCAATATTGGACCCGACCCGAACCCGACTAAAAAATTTCAGGTTTGGGTTGACCTGAACCCGAAGCGGGTCGGGTTCAGGTCCGGAAAACTGACCCGTTTGCAAAATCAGGTCGGGTTCGGGTTGACTCGAAAACTTGGGAACAACTCGAAAAATGGCCCTGCCCGCTCTGACCAGTCCTACCTGAAGCTACCAAACTACTAAGTGGTCCCGCCTGAAAGTTCATTAGAGATGTTAAGCCCTTATGAACTAGCCTAGGGCTAACCAAGAGTGGGGGGAAAATTAGTATTTTAAAAAATCTTTCACTATCAAAAACAAAACTTAAACAAACCAAAATTTACCACAAAGAAAATCAAAGTACGGAAATTAAACGTGGAAATAATAAATGAAAGAACACACCAGATTTAGAGTGGTTTGGTCAAATCTTGACCTACGTCCACTCTTCGGAGGCACCCTCCGAGTATTGCACTAAACTCAATGTCTC